GCGCCAAACCACCAAGAAGAATCAATGAAGAAGATGCACCATCAAAGAAGCTTGATAAGCAGTGGTTTTAATACTAAGCAAATCTTAACATACTCATGTCATTGCAGCATGTAAAGTATCAATCCATCTGGGTTCTTAAGGCACCAAGAATACAGAAAATCATCTAAGTCAAGCAAGATTCAAAATGGCAGTTGTGAACAAAACTAACAAGTCTTAAGACTGAATTAAGTAAAGCAGGAAATTCAAATAGATAAAGCAAGGATCTAAGATGGGGGGTTATTGATTAAGAGGGGATTAGAACCTAACAAGTGATGCTTCAAAACCATTCCTTGATACTAATCACTTTGCTATCTTCTAGGCACAGGATTAACAACTATAACTAGCTCAATTCTTTGACACTAATCACTTTGCTAAGCACACATTCAAGATAAATCACTTTACTCAAACACATGACCAGCAAGCATTCAGAACAGAACTCCAATCCTATAAAGCCAAAATGCAACTTAGACATCTAATTCCTTAGGCTAAGCATACAAATCCTCTAAGAGACTCTAAGCAGTATTTCATTAGACACTTACCAGGCGCTACAGAAAGCCAAGATACTAAACAAGCCTGGCCAAGACTAATCTAGTGTTAAGCACATCTAATAGAGAGAAGACAATCATATTAAGCACAAGACATCACTAATCTAGCCCTAAAACCCCTCTAATCTATCCCATCTCAAACCCTAAATAAGACTACTCACTAGCCATAGTCAAAAACACAAGTTCCAAAGAGAAAAGATGGTTAAGCATGATTAGGAAGCAGATTAAACAAGAATAGATCAAAGGCAAATACAGAAATTCACTAAATCAAACTAGTTCTTACAAAGCAAAGCTGAAAAAAGAAAGGTGTTAAGTGCAAGAACATAAAGAAAAATAACAAGATCCAAGTTGCCTAACCATTTTAGGACTTTAGTATTTATAGGGAAACAAGAAAACCCCTAGTAAACCAAGATTAAACCGAAAATAAGCTGACTCGGATGGACCATATCGACATTGAACATCGATACACATGTTGATATCTTCTCTTCCTCTAGGTTCTATCGTTGCCTCTTGGTCGATACGCACGTCGATACAGAAGGCTTCTAAGTTGTATCGGTTTGGCTCTCCAAGGTGTGAAGTCGATACACTCGCCCTTTAGTTAAGGCTCATCGATCAAGCAAGTCGATATGGGACCTCAGTATTGTCCTGTCATGTGTATCGGTCTTGGGACCTCGATACACTTATCGATATGGACTCTATTCTGCTGTATCAAGGTGTCTAAGTCGATATGCTTCCTTCAAACTTTGCCTCTTCTGTATCGATATTGTAGTGGTCGATACTCCCATCGATATGCTCTGTATCGATCACATGATGTCGATATCATCATCGATATTGGTCCACCCGTCTTTGTCTCTTGCCTTGCTCCATTCCCAACTCACACCCATTGCTTCACATGGCCTCCACACTCCTTCAAGCACCTGAATAAAACTCCAAATGCATGCAAAATGCAATGCAGCTCCTAAAACTACACTAACTCCTAAATGTATGCAAATGGGACAAGAAGAAGCAGAATATGCATGTTTAGAGACTAAAACTAATGATGAATGAAAGCTAAAATGGTATAAATAATGGAGATATCAAAGCTCCAAAGGATAAAGAAGAATGAGATCAAAAGAAGCAAAAAGCTTCAAGAAAAGGGTAGTATAGGACTATGTTTTAGGGAAGAAGCAAAGTGTTTAGATCACTTATGGGTTCTTGGGGTAGATGAGAGTTTATCTTTGTACGCATAAGTTGTTTTTTACCCTTAGCATTTTACCAAAGCTCATTCTATCTTCTTGAGAAAACCCTTGCACTTAAATGTTAGCCATTTCGAAATTGGTTTGAGGTCATCTTTGCCTCATAAAGCCTTGTCTTTAGCCAAATGAAACAAAAAAATTGCATAAGCATGATCCAGTTGGTTGATAAGTAATTGAATGTTAAAGAGATTGAATGATGTGTAAGATAGACTTGAGTTTTCATGTATATGCTTATGATGAGTGTGGCTAAATTTTCAATAAGAACAAACATCATTTTCATTTCAGAATCATTAACTTGGACGATGACATGATTTATATTATTAACATCTTTTGATTAAATAGCTCCAATTTTGAAACTTCTCTTCCGCCATGTTCATGCTTGCTTGAGGGCAAGCAAGAGCTAAATGTGGGGGAGTTGATATATTCATATTTTAGCAAGTTTTAGGGTGCATTTAGTTCATGTTTTGGTTTCTTTCATGCATTCATTCATCATATTTTGTGATATTTGCATTCATATTAGACATAATAGACTTTAGGTCTAAATGGAGCTATAAAGGACATTTGGAGAATGGTGAATGATGAGGACATGAAGAACCAAGTATAATGGCCAAGATGATGGGTTTTAGGCTGCATCAAAGTCCTGTATTGACCAAAGCTGAGAGCAACCTGCGCGGTATGCAGGTCGATATGAAATGTATGGGTCCTAAAGAAGGACTTCCGGTGCGATTCAGCCTCAGCGTACTTTATAGAAGTTGAAGATGATCGAATAAGATTTCCAACAGAGTTTGAATCAGGTCAATCCGGCCAGTGGTTCAAATGATACGGTGGTTTCAGCTTCACTGTCCGCAACCAGAAGTTTGTACCGAGCAGTGTATCGGCCAAGACCTCCTTCCTTCTGCCTGATATGCCTTAATCCGGGAACCAACTTTGACCATCTTTGACTCTTTTATTTTTGTTTCCTAAGGCTATTTTGGGGATGTTCCCTATAAATAGCTAAACCTAGATCTATTGTCTCTCATCCTTTCTCTTTCACAAAGCTTTGCTTTGGTTTTTCATAGAACTAGAACAATCCCTTTGTGGGATGAGATTGAATCACTTTTGTACACTTTTTGTTTTCTTCTTTTATTCTTGCTTTTCATTTGTTCTTTCTTTTATTAAATTCGAATTTCTGTTCTTGATTTTTAGAGATTTTTGATTTTTGATGAGCAAAGTGTTTCCTTTGATGTTTAAGGATGATTAGGGTGTTAGATCTTTGATTAGCTCTTCTTGTGTGACTGTTCCTAATGCCTAGTACCTCTTTGTTGGAGAAGTTGATTTTAGGTTTTCACTTGCACACTAAGTGTTTGATGAAATGTCTGAATGAAGTTCAATGCTTGAAAATGGTGTTTAGATAATCATAAGTCTTTGCATCTATCATTTTTTGCTTCAATGTGTTTATTGCTTAGTACCACATTGATGCAGAAATTGCCTTTAGACATTGATAATGCATGGAAGTGTGAGTTAATGTTTGATCTATTGCACAAGAGATTAGTAAACCTAATCTAAGGAATTAGATGTCTAGCATGCTTTTTGGCTCTATGGACCTTGTGATTGAAAGCTTACTAAATGTGTTTCACCATCGAAAGTGGGTTAGGAGTATGATTAGTCAAAGGGATTAGCGCCATCGAAAGAGGGTTAGTGTATATTAATGGTCCTTGCCTATTCTTGATATGGAATCACCTGATTAATCATTTAGTCTTGAACCTCTGTTTTCTAGTTTGCATTTCTTGTTTTAAGTTGGTAGATTTCAAATTTTTTTATATGTTTAAGCCTAGCTTAGCAAGTTTTCTGCATCTTGATTGTTCCTTACCTCTGGATTGATTTGATAACCTCTTGTACTTCAATGACATGGTTTTATACTTGAGGAATTGAGTCACAAGACCAAATAAATCTTGTATCACCACACGATTTTATTTAAAGGATGAAGGATGAATTGTAGTTTTTGCCCAGAAATTTTATTAATTGCAAAAGTGCCCCACTTGTGTTTTAGAACCATGAATAGGATTTCATGGTCATTGTTTAGACCAAAGTTTTATTTTCTTTGAGATTTTGAGAGAGATTAGAGCAGAAGCTTTTGGAGAGCCAAATACATACTTTGTTAATCGTAGAGAGACCATCATAAAAAAGTAATTTAATCGTAGAAATGAATATGGCACGTAAGTGATGGTAGTTTAAATGGAGCCATCATCTGAAATACCCTTCTTTTTCTAAACTAAATCTACTATATCCCTTATTAATCTATTATATCCTCTTAAATGTGTAAAGATAATTTTATCCAATAATTTAATTTTAGTGGGAAAGAAAAAAAAATTAGTATTGTCCAAAATCTGGTATAACTAGTAAAACTAGTATTACTGAAAATCATGATTTTATTAAGTAAAACTTGATGTAACTGGTATTACTAAGTAAAGATAATGTATAACTAGTAAAACTGGTATTACTGAAAATTATGATTTATTGAATAAAACTTGGTGCAACTGGTAATACTGAGTAAAGAAAATGTATAACTATGGATAACTAGTATTACTGATTGAGTTTTGCGAGAATACAATGAGCAATAACGTCAGCCATCAACAAATATTCAGTTGTACCAAGTTATGTCAGTATTACATATAAGATCCGACTAGTTGTACATAGTTCTACCAGTATTACATATACTAGTTCTATTTACTTCTACCAGTATTACATGTAGGTTTCGACTAGTTTTATCTAGTTGTACTAGTATTACTTAAAAATCACAAATTCCAAATCAAACTCTAACCAGAATTCACAAATTAAACCTCGATAATTAGTTTTCCCATAATTGATATCAAGAGTAAAACAAATCACGAAACTCTTCCTAATCAAAACGAATTAGAACCGGCTTCCTCACCAATCGGAACCACAGATCCCTTCCTCTCTACTTCTTCTTGAACCTCTTCAACAATCGCAGTCGGATTTGAACCTTTCAATCGAATATCACGAAGAGAGATGAATGAAAGAGGAGTTAGAAAGAACTCGTTTTTTTAGAATTAGGGATCCGCAACAGATGCTCAGTTTTTTCAAAATTTTCAGTTTAGATCCAAAGAAGTTGAGTGAGCAGATAAAACTCAAGTACAAAAAGTAAGTTTCGTTAGTTAATTAGGAATTTAAATAATTTTAATTATTTTTAGTTTTAAAAATAATTGAAAATAAAAACATTTTATAAAAAGGATATTTCCGGTTTTAGTTTAAGATTTAAGGAAATTACAGACTAAAACTCGTTTAAAAAATACCACAAACCAAACCAAACCAAACCAAACATTTTTATTAGCGAAAGTGTGACTTCATTGCACAATCTCCTTCCCAATATTCCCCGCAACAAATAATCGAAATAAATAAATATAAATGTGGGCATGAGAGCAAACGGAAATTGCTCTTTTGGGGTTTGATCTGCAGATATTCAATACATCGACTCTATAGACTGGGGAACTCTTAAGGAATTGTTTCTTCATTACTTATCACCTGAAAAAAGAGAGTTTAAATTACATGAAACACAAAAAAGAAACTGAAAACCAAAAACGAAGACTATATTGTTAACCATACTTCACTTGAGAGGATCAATGTGAGGGTAGAGTCCTAGGACATGTTCCGGCATGAAGTCATGCCTTGTAAGTATCCCAACAATAGGCGGTCTCTGAAGATACAAAGACATGCGTTAGAAACATAAACAAGATTCTAGAGAAAAAACATAAACAATCTAGTGAAAGAACGAGAGAGGGAGTCCGGATCACCCGGGGATTGGTCGGGTGGTAAAAGCCCGGATCATCCTTTGTTATCTAAAAAAATAATAGTAATTAACTAGAGAGAGGGAGAGAATCTGACCCCTGGTGTTTTGGGCACGACACACAAGTGGCGAAGGCCAAGTTGCCGGAAAAGAATAGCAGCTTTCGCTAGAGATAAAGTCTCAAGAACAGTATAAGGAGACGTGTTAGTGATTGGATGGAGATCAACATACATCTCCATCTCCTCATCACTTATAATCAAATCATCAATCTTGAGCCCTTTCCCTAACCCGGCTTTCGCAAAGTCACGGGCTTTGCAACTTCTCAGGATTTCGGAACCAAATGTTGTTCTCTGCTTCGAGAATTTCTTCCCTTGGAGAAGCACAAGGAGGTGAGATCTTAAGGCAATCCCACATAGCTCAGAAGCTTCTGTGAAAGGTGGCTCATCAATTACAGGGAAACCATTATGACTTGTCATCTTCAAAGCGTGCCATATCACCCCAACCTTTTCAACTCTTGAAAAGGATAACAAAGGTCCAGAAACAACGTCCTTCGCGACCAAATTGCGCATATACGGCTCTGCATGGTCTTCCATGTAAGGCAGTCCTTTCATTGTCACAATCTGGTCATAGACCCCTTTGTTGAAACAATCAGCGACGGTTTTCGAGATTAGGAGTACAAGCATCACCAATGGCAGCATCAGAAGATGGTTTGTAAGTTCGAGAAGTATGACACATAGAGAGACCGTCATTCTCATTGTGCCTCCAAGGAAAGAAGCAGCTCCAAGCAGAGAAAACAGACCTACATCAAGCTGTGACACCGGACCGAGGAGTCTACCAACTAGCCGTCCATAAGAAGCTCCGGCGAGAATGACGGGGATGAAAAGCCCCGAGGGTATAGCTATGCCGTATGTTATGATGCCAAGGAAGTATACAAAGACAAAGAACATGGCTAAGGTGGAGATTTGGAATTCGTTTTCGGACCTCGATGTGAAAAGACTGCGGATTGCATCATCATTGGTGTTGAGAAGAAGTGAGGAAAGGTCATTGTAATGGTTTGGAGGACACTGGAAACTCTTGTAGATGCCGGATCGTCCTACGCTTGGGCACTTTCCTTCTGTTCCAATAGGACATGGGGTACAATGTGAGAGCCATGGGAGACCAAATGCGCAACATGAGCTCAAAATGGAAACTGCCATAACCAGCATAACTTTGAATCCCGGACCTCTCCTGCAAAATATGGAAAGCAAAGACCTTATAGCAACAGAGGCAAGTAAAGAAATTTATGAAAGAGTTAACGTGTGGAGAAGTGACTTACTCGTTGATTAAGGCATATGTCCGGAGGACTTTGTCAACAAGGTAGTTGTAAAGGCTTCCAAGAACACCGCCAACAACTCCTAGGAACACTACTGCTAGCAAATCTGGAGTGCTGTAAAGAACTGGTCCCGAGTTTACGTCGAACATGATGAGACCTCCTTTGCCAAACAGTCCACATTTCCCAGATCGACAGAGCTCAATCAAACTTCGCAACACCACTGCTACAACCGCAGTAGTGAAGAAGGTCCTCCACAGAAGTGCACTCCTCCACCTAACGAGTTTAACAAAGTTAGACACAATCTTTTTGCCAAGTTAAGTATAGCAATATAGATAATAGAGCAAACAGTCTATACACTGTTTATATCCCTTAGATTTTCTCGCTTACTAGATTTTCTTCTGCCAAACTACAGATAAGTTTTGAATAGTTCGTTTACTGCATTATAAAGCATCAGCCTTTTCGCTACTATACATAAGTTTCAGAGTCTAACAACTATAGATAAGTTATAAGGGGAGAGAAACAGAAAAATTACCAAGAAGCAGCTTCTTCGAGGGCGAAAAGCACTCCACCAACCGGAGCACGGAAAGCAGCCGCGACACCAGCAGCAGCCCCGCAAGTGATCAGGTCTCTTCTGTCTCTGTCGTTTTTGAAGAATCTGAGCCACTTCCAAGTCAACCGATACTTTCTGGAACCACCTTGTCCAAGTAAATTAGCAATGCAAGCGCCAGTATGCACCATAGGCCCTTCTTTTCCAACTACGAATCCGGCAGCAACTCCAAATATAGAGCCAAAGATCTGCCAATACGAGACAATTTATATTAAAAACAAATGCTTAAATTCAAGATAAACAAAGACGCTTCGAAAGATGTTTTGAGATCTTACCTTAACAAAGAGGGTGCTCGGAGCTAAAATTGAATAAGCATCTATACCATTGAGATATGCTTTAACCTCAGGTATGCCAGATCCTGCCGCTGCCGGAGCAATGAAAGCACAGAGTGAAGCAGCAGCAGTAGCCAAAATCAAGTTACACCCAGCAAATGCAAAAAATGCCTGAAAGTATCTGCAGTTTTGAAATAAGATTCAGCTGTTTATTATCAATTTCACATATTATTTTGGTCTGATCCATAATTCTCACAGCTGTATTAAGAAACAGCCAAAATGAACTTAAAAGAACAACAGAAGTAGAACACAGCACCAGCTGAATTCAAAACAGATAGATAAGATTTAAAATATGTTGTAGAAGCAGAGATCAAACAATGAAAGCTAGACTTACTTTTCTTTGAGCATGAGATTACCGGTGAGCAAGAGTTTGAATCCAGCTATATTCTCAACCGCAAGGTTATTTAAGAAACCAACGAGGCCAGTGGCTAAACCGATAAGGAAAGCAAGCGCCCATTTGAGAGTCGTGTATTGAAGTATCTCAATCTTCTTCCTAGACCTCCAGTCCTGTTTGAAAAGATCATTCTCAAAGATCCTGCCAAAAATGAGCTTATAAGTCAATATCCTGATATACAGGACAACCTATCATACCAAATTAGGCAAGACAACAATCAAGTATGGCAGTAGAAGATTGCATTTAACTTTGATGTCCCGAAAGCTACAAAGTTCCATTCTCTCAAAAAGCTTCAATATTTGACCAATGAATAAAAAATGCAACACTGTGTTTAAAAGTAGATGGGACCCAAAACATTATGATTACATAATCATACAATCTTATCTCTGAACAAGAAATGGAAACTTCATAGACTCATAATCTACAAGAGATTAAGTTCAAAAACTAATTGAAATCATTTCTCCAAACTATTACAAAAATTCAGGAATTGATAAAAAAAGAAGAAGGTGAAATTGGAAAGTTAGTCTGTGCATGAGAAGACAGAGAGAAGGGGAAAGAAACACAAACTCGTAATCAAGGCTTTCGATGGGACAAGTATTTGCTCCCACAATTGCGATCTGCGAAGTTGTGTTCTTTCGATTCCTTGCGAGCAGAGGCTGTTGGAATCCGACAGATCCATCATCGAGAATCCCAGATATCTTCCTGTCGTACGCGTAATTACCTCCTTCCACCTCAATATCATGGTCGTCGCTCCGATCATCCATTTTCCTTCACGATCGAGATTTAAAAACACAATTTCGATCCCGATCAGATGAGCTTGGAGAAGACCGTGTTTTATAATTGGTTTAAGAGCTCGAGTCTCCGGGAATCAAACCTCTCGCGCTCAAGCAGATGTTATAATCGTATTTTTTAGTATTGTTTTTTCTTGATTTTTGTTGTAGGGACGTAAGGTCAGGATACTTTGTTGTTTTCTTCGTGACATAGTTTTTGTTGTTTTCCTTTTTCTCCTAATTTAGGTAAATAAACCCCCCCCCCCTAAAAAATGTATGTATCTATTTGTTAGGAATTTAGCAAGATAAATCATTAAAAAAACAACAAAATCTTATTATATAAAATGTTATACATATTGACGATAAAAAATGATAGGATATATACATATTGACGATTAAAAAAGAGAGGATATATATTTAATAAAGATAAAGGGCTTAGATATATTTTCTATTTATCTCTTTTGTTGATTTTTTTCATTTCAACTCTCATTTGTGGAAATTTCATTAACAGGATACAAAATATTTATCATTATCCGATTCTAAATATGAAAGTTTCATTAAACAGATTTTGTTTTTTCAGTTCAAATTTCAAATTTATAGAACGTGCATGATTTTCATAGAAAAAAATTACATTCATATTCCAAAAAACTTATATATATTTATAGATTATTAACTTTTCTTTTAAAAATTCTCAAACCTAACTTCTCTATTAGATAAATATACAATAATAACTTTATCAGTTCTGAAAATTTACAATAACAAAAAAAAATTTATTATATTTTCTAATTTTAAAAATAAATAGTAAAAACATTTTACTTTATATAAATATTTTGTAATAAAATAAATTTGTATTCATTATAATTTATTTTTAGACAGATAAGTGAATATTTTATTTTATATATATAAAAGTTGAATATTTTAAAGTTAGTAATTTACATGGTAATTTAAATCAATAAGATTTTGACATATATCATAATTAAAATAGAATAATAAAATAAAAGGTAAATGAAAATATATTGTTCTAAAGCAAATTACTGACTGTTTATAGGTGTACATTCGTTCCAGTAGAGGAGTTGCATCTTTAAGTTTCGTCTTGTCGAGATGAGCGACGTGTGGTGTTTGGGTGAATATCTGATTGGGTCATGCGAACAATGGAAAATAAATAAACTGGACCTCAAGAAGAACCGAAAGAAGGATTTTCTCTTGAAGGTTTTCTGACGCTCAAATTAGTTAACGCCCCACTGGAAATAGGTACTCGGGATGGATAGGTGGTGATGGTGTTATGGTTTGGGTATCCTGTCCGAGGATCGTAATACCTATTTGTTGTTTGGTGAGGATGGACGTGTGGTAAATGAATCATTGAGAGAATGGGGTAGAAACTCTCTCTCTCGATGGGGGAAAAAGCCGAGATTAGAGGGTGACGAGAAAGCTTATCTCGATTGGCAGTCTTTCTGGGGAACGTTGAGCGTATCCCCTTCAGTTCCACTGCTAAGTCTGGCCTGTCGATCAGATTCCGGTATTGGTTGAGTATTCCGGCGGTTCCTCCTCATATCCTTGAGTTGGTTGTCTTCTTTTAGTTTATCCTTCCTTTACCGGTTCTGCCATTCTTGGCCGTCTGGCCTCTCTCTCTCTCTATCTCGGCCTTCACTCCTTCTTTATACTCGCTTCGCTTTGATCCGCCCACCGGTGTGGCACCTGGCAGGAGCAGGTGTGCTGCTGCAGCACGCCTTTGACTTGGGAAGCTCGCCAACTGCCTGGAAATAGTTAGCTAGAAAGCTGTTGAGCAGACCTAGACAGGCAGCTCATTAACACGGTCAACCCTACTACTGGCGTGTTGCCTCTTGATAGGAAATAGTGAAAGTTGGTCCAACAATTGCCTCCGACTTCTTGACTGATTAGAAATAAGTCAGGGAGTTGTACCTTACATTGTTCCTGTCAAACATTCAAGATTCGTCTTTTTGGTACCCGAAGGTTTTGGGATGTCCGGTGCTGCATTAGTGCGATTCACCCCAATCTTGCCACACATCCCAAAAAAGTATAAATCTAGCCGAAGTGAAACAAGTTTTCCAGAGAAACAGTTAGGGGGGGATTATTGGATCATTGTTTTTGGAAGACATTAGTTTTTTTCTAAAATCTAATGTTATTGGATCTGCAGTTCTTAAATGTCTTTTAAAATCTCAGGTTATTGGATATATAATTCTTCTCAACTAATTCAAAATAATTCATAATCCATAGTTATTCAATTGATAAGTGACCAAAATCATAAAAAATCTGGGGTTATTGGATCATTTTCAATCTTAAAACAAATTAAATCTGAAAAGATTTCTAAATATTTGATTACAAGTTTTTAGTTATATAACGTGATACAATATCAAAAATCAGTAAATCAAGGATCTTCAATATATGAATTATTATTAGAATCTGTTCTTCATAATTATCAAAGTCAAAGGATTCTCATTCAAGTCCAAAGCAAGATTGGTGGCAAGAAGACCATTATCTGATTTAGCTTATTTTTCTCTTTTTGTTTAAATTTAAATAATTTAAATTAAATGTAATTTATTGTAAAGATTCTTTGTAAAAGCTATAAAATCTTATTGTTCTCATTGTAAAAAGATATAGAAATTTTTGGAAATTAAAAGAGATTTTTCTCTAAAGTTTTGGCTTTGTTTTTGTTTATCTAAGCAAGATGGAATTCTTCACTTAGTAAACATTTGAATCTATGTTTCTTGTGTGCGATGCCTTGAGACTAGGTTTGTGAACTCATCACAGGGGCTTTCACACCCTTGAGTGGCGTTCTTTGATCCACCCTTCTATTCCATTTCATCCACCGATCAAGCCTGAAAGAGACTTCAGTCCAGCAGATTGATCCCATCACCATCCACTTTGATCATCTCTTGAGCAAGTAGAAAGAGACTTCAGTCCAGCTGCTTGCTTCCACCCATTCACCCAACCATTTATAAGATCATCTCATTGATCTTATATTATTTGGTATCAGAGCTAAAAGCTCATATCCTCTATCTTTTTTATTTTTGTTTTGTTTTTGTTTCATGCTTTACAAGATTTCATTAAAAAGAAAAAAAAAGTTTTGGTTGTTTTTATTCTTTAAATTTTATAAAACTAGACAAAAAAATCATAAGAAATATTTTTATGTTTTTGTTCTTTGATTTATGCTTTTTTATTAAAAAAACATAAAACCCATAAAAAATTTCAATTGAAGTTTGTTTCTTTCATTAAATAAAAACAAAAAAAAAATTCTGTTTCTATTTATGTTTTTGTTTATTCCGATTTTTATTGTTTAAAAAAATTTATAAATGAAAAAAGTTTTATTTATTTTATAAGTAATATTTGCTAAAAAGTTTATAAAAAAATCAGTTTTGAGGACAAAACCATTTGAAGAGGGAGAGAATGATACAATATCAAAAATCAGTAAATCAAGGGTCTTCAATATGTGAATTATTATTAGAATATGTTCTTCATAATTATCAAAGTCAAAGGATTCTCATTCAAGTCCAAAGCAAGATTGGTGGCAAGAAGACTATTATCTGATTTAGCTTATTTTTCTCCTTTTGTTTAAATATAAATAATTTAAATTAAATGTAATTTATTATAAAGATTCTTTGTAAAAGCTATAAAAGCTTATTGTTCTCATTGTAAAACGATATAGAAATTTTTGGAAATTAAAAAAGATTTTTCTCTAAAGTTTTGGCTTTGTTTTTGTTTATCTAAGCAAGATGGAATTCTTCACTTTGTAAACATTTGAATCTATGTTTCTTGTGTGCGATGCCTTGAGACTAGGTTTGTGAACTCATCACAGGGGCTTTCACACCCTTGAGTGGCGTTCTTCGATCCACCCTTCTATTCCATTTCATCCACCGATCAAGCCTGAAAGAGACTTCAGTCCAACAGCTTGCTTCCACCCATTCACCCAACCATTTATAAGATCATCCCATTGATCTTATATCATAACGCAATCAACAAATCTCACCTACAAAGATGATAATTTCAAAAGATTTGTTTAAAAAAAAATTCAAACTTTTGTTTAAAAAAAAAAGTTCACGAGCTGGGAATGAAAGCAGGATTTGCTAAAATGTCTATAACCGAACGTTTTGGATGGATTAAATGTCATGTCTACAAACCATGATTACAAGAATTTACAAACCATGCCAACTTTGGAGTTTTGTTATGCTTTTCCTTTCCTTTACATTTTTTAATTTCAGTTTGTTTTAGTTGATGTTTTTGATTTACAATTTGGATGTTTCAGGTAGATTGAACGACAGGTTTACATATTAGCTTTGGAGTTACGTTATGTTTTTCTTTCTTTTGTTTTAGTTAATGTTTTAGATTTAGAATTTGGATATTTCTTCATTTTTAATAAAAATTTAAAATTATGCTGGTTTTTGTTTTGTCATACAAAATGAACTGAAATCTATCTTAAAAGTTTTTCCAAATCTTAATTGCTTAAAAAATATATATTAAAAATCACACAATATCTACAAATTCTATCAAAATCCAACCAAATATCAAATCATTCAAAATAAATTCAAATCATTCAAATCCATGATCCAATAAGCCCCCTTTAGATTTCTGGAGAAACAGTTAGATGAGTCTTACCCCGGCTCAGGCGTGCATTCCGAGAGAGTACACGCTTGCCCAAGACAGAGGAACTTAGATTACCGGAAGAACAGTTGATCGCCCACGGATGAGCATCTCCCCAGAAGGATTTTTTCTCCTTGCTTTGTGAGGCACTAGACAAGGAGACGTCTTCTTTCCTCCTTGGCTTTATGATATATCATGGTTTTTATGGTTTTTAACTATGATATAAGTCCTTTTTATTGAGTCTTTTTGGTTTTTTTAAAGTCCTAGTAGATTCTTTGCATGTTATAGCATGTCTGGAGCATAATTGGAGGTTTTGGAGCTTTTTGGATCATTACAAGATGAAGCCACAAAGTGTACAACTCAGAAGGCGAAATCAGAGATGGGTGACGCTCGTCACCACCTTTGGTAACGCTCGTCACCCAGAAAGGAAGGGATCATGGCTTGTTTATTAAAAGATGGAGCATTATTTACTGAATTGGCCCATAAGTTCCAGTATTTGCATGAAGACCCCGGATCGTGTTTAGCCTCTATTTATTAGGTTTTCCAGCCATTGTTGGCTTTTTATCTTAGTTTTTGAGAATTCAGAGAGCTTTAGAGAGGATTTTATTGAGAGCTTTTGGGGAGACAGATCTTGTACTCTTTTTGGAGAAGATTTCGAACCCCCTTTGTTTTTATTCTATTCTTTTAATGCAAATTCATTCAGTTATGTTTTATGATTCCATGATCATGTCTGAGTAATTTGTTAGTTA